GGAGAGAAAGAGAGAATCCCAAGCAGACCCTGCACTCAGTGTAGAACCTGCCACAGGGCTCCATCCCACGACCCTGAGATCATGACCTGCGCTGAAATTAAGAGTCAGATGCTCAGCTGAGTGAGCCACACAGGCGCCCCTGTGCCGCCTTTTCCTAAAGAGACCCAGACCCTCACATCCCCAGATGGCAGGGCCCCATTATTTCATCGTGTTGTGCATTAAGAAGAATTGGCACAGAAAAAATAAGGAACTTGGGAAAAAAAGAGTCAGCCCCGGGTAGATCGAGTAGGTAGTCTTCCTCAGGGTGTGTTTTCAGAAAATTTGGAAGACTCCCTCACCCCCCTACCCCTTCAAGCATTAAGAGGATGACCTAACAACTGTTGGTGATCAGTGGGGTTTAAAAAATTATTTAATTAGAGACTGAAGGTAAAATATAACGCATAAGGTATCATCACCCTTGATAACACTGTGGGTAGGTAGTTATTCTAGAACCTGGCATCAGCTCCATTCCTGAAAAGCTTTGGTGACTGAGGGGGAGAGAGAATTCAAAGCTACTTCATCCTAAAGTGCAGTGGGGAGCATAGGATGATAGAGAAAGATCCCCAGATGGGATGTTTCTACATGCCCGGAGATACCTTGTCCCCATGTTGTTTCTGGGTCTAGCAGTTTGACCCAAGAACCAAAACCTGCATGGAGTTTTCCAATGTCCATCCAGTGGTCTGTCCACTACGTGCCTTTGGAGCTGATGACGTCTCCATTCCCCAAATGGGGTCACTACCTTATGGGGTTTGTAGGCGGCATTCTGTATGCACTTAACAAAAAGAGGTAACATCTCTAAGAGTCTCTGCTATTTTCAAGCTGTAATTGTGCTTCTGCTTATAAAGAGCTAGAATGGATGTGTTAAGCCAATATTTTGGCCTTATTCGTGCCTTATTTCTTTGCTATGAAGGCTTTTTATGGAGCTTTTCTGTTTGTTTGTGAACCGTGTCTCTCCCTCCCCTTTTCTTGTAATGCTGTTGCTTTATCTCTCTTCCATTCATATTTTTTTCCTTCCTTTTTGCTGCATGGAGACTCTCTGCTGTACAAGTGTAAGTATTTTTTGGTGGCTCTGCAGTTTCTGGCTGTACTACTTTGCTTTCTCGTGCCCCATCTGCTTCTGCGCTGCCCGGCTGGTTTTTTTGGACACTCAGTGTCGTCATCCATCTGTGGATCCTGTGTGAGACAGACAGCAATTTAGAGACAAGATTGGCTTTTACAAGACGGTTCAGCTAGCAAAACAGGCGATGAATTTAAAAGATCCTAGCTGTGCCTAAAACCAAGCAGAGTGTTGATGAAGAGGGTACCAACCTTCAAGAGGGGAGAGGTGGTTTTTCCCTTTGTGTAAAAAAAAAAAAAAAAGCGTGATTACTTAAATGTCCGGGTTTTGTTTTGTTTTGTTTTTTTTTCCTGATTCTTGCTTCCCAGGGTTGTAGAAAATTGGCATCATGATTTGCTTCTTGTATGGGAAGAATTTTTCCTAATTCATTTCCCAGCTTTTTTTTTTAACCAACCGTGTTTTTGTTTTGTTTTTTGTTTTTTTGTTTTAACCTCAGGGAAAAGAAAATTAGGGATTCTTGAGCTCAAAGTGAGAGTGTTGTTTATTATTCTTTGCACAAACTTGATAAAATGAGCAATGCAGCTTCTCCATCCTGTTTTTGTGGTGATAGAAACAATTTAATTCTCGTTTTAAAAAAAAAAAGTATGTTAGGAATTACACGTTAAAAGTGAGTTTAACAGGAAAATAATGTTGTGCTCTTCGTCAGACTCCAGCCTAAGTCAAAGCATTAAAGTAGACCTATCACTTGAGTGACATGAGAATCGTTTTAATTCCATTATAAAAATCAGATCAAATGAATAAGATTTCTGAGCAACGTAGACATTGTGTTGCTTTTGATTCCTAGAGAATAGGGCCCTGCCTTTTGTCCATAGTCGGCCACGGTGGGGATTTATTGATGGTTGGTGATGTCAGGATGAGAAAGAAGTCTTCCAGTAGGGTTTTCCTTCTAAAGTTACTTTTTAAAGGGTTCAACACTGTTCCTCCTATTTCCTGAGTATGTGAATTTGAAAATAATTTATTATAAAATGCATTTATAAAGTAATTTTGTCTAGGCCTAAAATAATGGGTAACCATGAATTGATTTGTAAAGAGTCCTTTGGTGTGTGTACCTCTTCTGCTTCAGGCCCTGACCCTCTTCATCTGAGGGGCACTTCTTGATTTCTCCTGTCAGTAAATACTCATTGACAAATGTCCAGGGCAGGAAATGAAGACCAAGAAACAGTCTGAGAAAGTTAGCCCTTTCATTTTGATACAAGAGCGTTAACAGTTCTGAAGAGGTTGGTAAAGCTAGACTTTTTTTCCCCCCAGGTTGCAACTTATGTAATCAACAGGTGTGGGAAGGGGTTGGCAGGAGCGCATATAAACCAGATTTCTGGAGAAACATAGAATATTTGTTCCTAAATATATACCTGGGTAGATAATCATAGCTCATTGTTATATTTCCTCTTGCTTTAGATTTTATATGTAACAGGATCATAGGAGTAAGCCAGTAAAGAGTGAGCAAGTTCAGTTTTTTATCTAAAACTGTTAAGAAAAAACTCAAAAGAAAGGAAAGAAAAATAAGAGAGAAATAAAATTCACTCCCCCCCCATTGTTATACTTAAACCATAAGAAAGAGATCATGAAGCTTTTCGTGTATCAAAAGAAATGTCTAAAATTGAGTTGCATTCTTAATACCAGATTCAGAAACTAGTTGATTTCGAGTCCTGCCTATTTTAGCAAAAGTCCATTGTCCCTGTCCAAATGTCAAAAACTTCGAAACTAACAGATATGTCACATACAGTGGGAGAGTTTCATGTGAAATGCAATTAGGAGGTATTTGCTCTTGTACAGAGCATATGAAATGAAGGATATCTTTGAAGCATTTGAAAGTCAAACCTAGAAGAGTGAACTAGTTAGTTCCCCTTTGGTTGATGTTTGCCATCAAATATCCTGATGATTTCCTAAATTCCTCAGTTTGTCTGTAAAATTAGGTTGAGCTGAATGACCTAGTTACAGATCGGCATCAGTTTGTAAATGTCTCTTTATATTTTCATATTGCTTATGAATATTATGTAGTCTATTCTTTTATATATAATTATACATAAAATTCCATTTCATATATTTAAAATTGTAATATATTTGAAATGTCATAATTGTCACGTGTTTTACACACATTTGGCCTCTGTTATAAAGGTTATGTAGGGAAACGAGCCAGATTATTTTTGCCCATGAACACTCTTTCTATAAAATCTAATCAAGAGTCACAGGAAAAAATGTTGGAAGACATTGTCATTCCATGCATTTTTAAGCCTCTTTCTTCTTTATTTGTGGCTGTCTAAATGAATTGGCTGGAAATTATATCCCCAGCTGCTTCTTGATCCTTTTACCCATCAAGGTTGTGCACAAAGTGGATGGAATACTAAAGACATTTTCATTAAACATAGCGTATATTTCAGGAGTTTGTGTCTCCTGAAAATTAATTATTTTTAGAGGTTCACCTATGAATAGACCAGTCAGTCCACTATCTTGTTCAGTCGACTGCAAGGGCATTTTGAGGGGAGAACAACCTGGAAGCTGGGTCCCTTTCCGGTTGCATTGGATTGACTGTGTTTTTTACTGAACCCACAAAGCCTGTTGCTTTACAAATAGATACTCCTCAGATCGTCTGCCTTTAACTAAACCTTGAAAGAACCAAATCACCAAGTTTTCACTGTGTATTTCAGGAAGACCAATCTGGATTTAAATGTAATTGCTCATCTTTTCTCTCCCTTTTCTCTCAATAATAAGTAACAGTGAAAGGATACTATTGTGAAATCTGGCATAAAATTGTTAGAACTGTAAAGTTGTTTGCTTTAAAGGTCAGTGTGAACCAATTCATTCCTTGAACCAAAGAGAGTGTCAACTGTGTGGATGTTTTTTGAGAAAGCCTTACGTGGCACGCTATTAAATGAAAGACTACCAAGTAAGTTCTGTTATCTCTTAGTTTAGACAAATACTAGTTTCCAGTATCAGACCAATTAGAACATTCCTCAGGTCCATTCATCTGTATATTGATTTCGAAAGGTGTGGTTTGGAGGGATGTTGGGCCAGCCTTACAATGGGTCTGTCCCCGATGCTGCTCCTAATGCTGGCTTGAATGGGAGCTGTTGTCATCTCTGTGACTCAGTTTCTTCCTTCAAATTCGTTTCTCAGAAGCTAACTACCCTCTTTAGATTTGGCTTTACATCATCAACAGTTGGCACCAATGCTTAAGATGTTTTGGTGGTTTGGGTTTTGGTCTCATTTTTTAAAAGACTAACAGGATGAAGGACTCTTACTGAGAAGTGACAGCAGACGGACTTCTAAGTCATGGCAACTTTTTCCTAGTTAGCCTTTGCCCGTAATATAAAGATCAAAATCTCAGTGGCAAAAGTATGAAACACAACAGTTAACTGCTTAAATTCTGAAAGGGACAAAGAGTTGGGCGTTGCCTTGCATCGATGATGTTTGATGTTCCTGTGGTAATGAGCCCTAGATAGTTGTAGTTTCAATTGTTAGTGACTGGTGTTTACAATCTTTTAATCTGTTTTTTTATATCCATTTTAATATCCTCATGCGCAGCTTGGAATTACCTTCCGTATCTTTCATTGTTCCTTTCTGCCATATAAATAGAATGTAACTGATAGGGCTGGAGGCAAGAAGCAAGCAGGGGGCTGTATCAGTTGAGAACATTGTAAACATTTAGAAATGTGTGGGTTCAATCTTTCCGGTCAGGCTGTCAGATGTGACCAACCATCCTCTAAAGCAGCAAAACAAATAGTGTAAACATTTGAGCCCAGATGTTTCTCCACCCACCCCCCACCCCCCACCCTCCGAAAGGTTTCTGAAGTTTGAAAGGCAAGTTTCTGTGAATACCTAAGTGCTTTCTTTATTTCGTTGCTAGATGACCCCTAAGTCCAAAAGGAAGAGTATCCATAGCCGGATGCTGCGACCTGTTTCCAGAGCCTTCGGTGAGTTATTTCTGAATGCCCGCCATTTCCCTATAACCATGAAGCACCCCCAGCGGGGACCTCGGACCACCTCAGGGAGGCCTCCCAGGGATGCTCTGTATGAGTAAATGTGGACAGGGATTGTGAAGGGATTTGTGAGCCCGTGTTTGCGCTTCCGTGATAGACTTAAAGTTACTTTGAGGAATTCTGTAATGCCTCTGTACGCAGGGCGCTTCAGCTCGGGGCTCTGCTTTATTTCAGAGATGGAGTTTGATCTCGATAAAGCGCTGGAGGAGGTGCCCATTCACATCGAGGACCCGCCTTTCCCTTCCGCCCGACAGGAGAAGCGGAGCTCGGGGTTTATCTCCGAGCTGCCTTCCGAGGAGGGGAAGAAGCTGGAGCACTTTACCAAGTTAAGGCCAAAGCGGAATAAGAAGCAGCAGCCTACCCAGGCGGCGGTAGGTGGCCGGGAGGGGCCCCCTCTCTCCCTCGCCCTTTACTTCCCGGGGGAGCAGGAGGTGGGCGCGGACGCCTGGCCCAGCACGGACGCTTGCAGCGAAGGGCGGCAGAACCGGCCCACCGGACGCTCGAGCACAGCCTGTCCGCTGCGCGCCCAGCAGTTTTTGAAAAGACAATGCTGTAAAGTTTCCAACGCTTCGGAGCAGAGTTGCCCTTGGAAGAAGCCCTTAGAAAAATAGCGGTTACGTGGGTGCGATAAATCGGCTACGTGTGTGGAATTTTTCATGTCTGAGTGCGACACGATGGAAAATAAGCACCAGAGCATTTGTTGGTGATTCACAGTGGCTTGTGCGTAACTCGGGGGTGTACACTCTGCTCTCCCCGTCCGCCTCCTGGTCCTGGGCTGTGCCGATGCCTTTGCTTTGGATGATGTGCAAGCCGGGGGGGGGGCGGGGAGCCGCTCTGGTACAGAGACGCCGCAGCTCCCGCACCTGCCGGAGGAGTTGGGATTGTTGGTGCTGAGTGGCTCTCGGGCTCCTGTGCTCCACACCTGCTGTCTCTCTTGCTCACCTTCCTTGCTCCGCAGTTCGCTCTGCGCCCGGCCACCTCTGCAGCTGCCCCAGGTCACTCCTGGCTGCATCCTGCGCACGCTTGTCTGCTGCCCTCTCACTTGATGTCTCAGCGCTCACTTGACACAGAAAACCCCATCCTTCCCGAAAGCGATTTCCCATGGGCCTCTGAGGCCCACACGCTTCTTTTCCACCCACCCCGTTGGTGAGGGCATTGAGTGTGTTATTTGCTGCCTGGGCCCCGTGGTCAGAACCCTTGGTTACCATCTGTTGACTTCTGCCCTGTCTGTCCTGCTCTGGGTTCGAGTGTTCCCCTGCTCCCTAAACTTCAGTGCCCCAGAGCACCTTGGGCTCCGCACATTCAGAACTGGGAGCCTCTCTCTGTAAACCCACCTTTCCCTCCTAGCGCCTTCCCCCAACGGAGCATTGACAATTCAGAAACTGTGATATGATCCTGAACACCAGGTCCCCACTGCCAGCCCTGATCTGTCCACCTTCCTCCTAGTCATCCCTGACGTTGCTGCTTCCCAGCCTGGGTCTCGGGCCTCCAGAGCTGCAGCCTTCTTGTCACTTCTCCTCCATGCCCCACATATCTCTTGGGCCGACAACCATTTATCTTTCAGATCTCCACTTGCCTCAGTGTTCCAGGAAACCCTCCCTGTCTCCACCTCTGTGTTCCCATAGGTCTGTGCTTACATGACTCCAGGGGAGTTCATTCTCACAGACTGGTTTTGCACAGTGCACAACCTGAACAACCCTCCATGGAGGCCACGGCTCCTCCAGTGCCTGCTCCTCATAGCTGTTACAGGTGCTTTTATACCTCCCACCATAGTGTTCTCTAAGCACTCTCTGTCGTAAGCTCCATGTGGGAAGGTGTGTGGTTTATTATCCTAGGATTTATTTTCAGTGCTCTATAGTAGATGCTCAACCGTACTTATTGAATGATAGGTAGATGACTGGAGACAGAAGTGGATGAAGGTCACAATAATTATCTGTCTGGTCAGTCATTTATTCAAACTACCTCAGGCTAGTTGTGTTTAGTTTATTTCTCATTCAAACCTGAATAGCTTGACATGGTTTCAGAAAAACAAAAGGAAACAACTTCAGTGCTTTGTTTTCTGATTTGATTTTAATGTTTTAGTATACCATTACATATTCTTTTGCTTCTTTTTTATAAGATTTTATTTATTTGAAAGCGAGAGAGAAAGAGAGAGCATGAGCAGAGGCAGAGGGAGAAGCAGACTCCCACTGAGCAGGGAGCCCAATGCAGGACTCGATCCCAGGACCCTGGGACCATGACCTAGCCAAAGGCAGACGCTTAACTGACTGAGCCACCCAGGCATCCCACTATTACATATTCTTAAAGGAATAAACTTTTAAGTAAGGAAAAAGCCTTTTTAGATAGGGGAAAAGATGACCTCCACACTAGATTCTCGTTGGTTACTGAATGGCTCCTCTTTGGCTCTTTCCACGGGGAGAGTCATTAGCAGTGTAACTTGTACCTGAGATGATGGTTTGTTTCCCCTTGATTAAGGCGACCCATGGAAAGAGAATGTTGTGAACATAATTTAAAAACCGAGAAGGGAAGGGAAGAAAGTGGAGCAGAGTGCTGGTAGAGGAACGTAGTAGGTATATGCCAGAGAGATTTGGACTCTGCCCACAGCAAAGCCCGGCTCACAGGTCCTGCTCACGCCCGGCTCTTCCATCCGAGGGACTCTGCTAGTGGCACGAGCGTGTGTCCTAAAACCGTGGGTTATGGTCATGGGTCCAAGTACATCTGGCTTCTTCCCCAAGGCGTGGTGGACTGTGAAACATGGCATAGCTTGCTTTTCTCCGGGCTCATGGTGAAAATGTACTACTTTATGATTTTCAAAGTACTTCCTCCACTCTGTGAAGTGGCCACATTTTCAGCTAAGAATGAGGGGATTGCAGCTGACCTTTCTCACTAGGATTCAGTAGTGATAATCATTTAATATTATTGTCTTGTTTTTGTTTTGCTAGGATTGAGTGGACTCAGTCTATCCTAAGTCTATTTCAACTTTTCTAGAACTTGACCTTGACCTCTAATTCCCCTACTGAGCTTTTCTAAGTATCAGAATGCTCAAAGCCAAGGTGTGGCTTTTTTTTTTTTTTCTTTTTACTTTTACCATTTCTGACACCAAATGTGTGGGTGCCTCCCACCCCCCACCCCACACACACCAACTAATTCTTCAACTCTGGACACCAACTGAGTGTCCCCCCAATTTAGTTCAATTCTGACACTCCCTGGAGTTAGCATAGACCCCAGAGGTTTAGGGCTTGGTGGCACCCACACGTCAGATGCCAGTCCCAATGTGTCAACTGTACTTCTGACCAACTGGCTATAAATTCAAGGGGGGTTTCCACAACCCCCTCCTTAGGTGTGATAATTTGCTAGAATGGCTCACAGAACTCAAGAAGACACTTTACGTATTATTACTGGTTATTGTAAAGGATGCACCTCAGGAACAGCCAGATGGAAGAGATGTGTAGGGCGAGGTAAGGGAGGAGGGGCTGGGAGCTTCTATGCCCTTCTCTGGGCGAGCCACCCTCCCAGCACCTCAGTGTGTTTGCTGACCCGGAGGCTCTCCAAATCTCATCACTCAGGGGTTTTGTGGAAGTTCCATTAAGTAGGCACGATTGAGTAAACCATTGGTCATTGGTGACTAACTCCATCACCAGGCCCTCATTCCTCCCCAGGGCCAGGGATGGTGGTGAAAGTTCCAAGCCTCCTATTATGTGGTTGGTTTCTCTGATGACTAGCCCTTATCCAGGTCCCACCAAGACTCACCTTTTTTTATCATAAACTCACGAATGACTGAAAGGGGCTTGCTAGAAATAACAAAAGATGTTCCTTTTGGCTCTGTCACTCAGGAAATTTCAGAGGTTTCAGACTTTGTGTCAGGAACCAGGACAAAGGCCAAATACTTCTTGTAGCACACAAGGCTAAGCTAAATACCAACACGTCAGTTTCTGCTGGGTCAAAAATACCTAGTGTTGTAACTTTAATTCTTGTGCCAAAAATATACAAATAAATATGTGTATGAAGAGTAGATAACTATTTTTTAAAAAAACTAAGTAAAAATTTAATCTTCTACTCAAACTACAATCCTTCTGAAACTACCATCTTTTTAATTTTTTTTAAGATTTTATTTATTTATATGTCAGAGAGTGAGCACGAGCAGGGAGGAGGAACAGAGGGAGAGGGAGAAGCAGACTCCCTGCTGAGCAGGGAGCCCAATGCAGGACTCGATCCCAGGATCCTGGGATCATGACCTGAGCTGAAGGCAGAGGCTTAACTGACTGAGCCACCCAGGCGCCCCTAAACTACCAGACATCTTATGAATAATTGTTCCACACATTTTACCTATACATTTTTCAAGTCTTTACTGAACCTTTCTCTAAAAAAAACCCCAAAAAACCAAAAACAAAACCAATTTATTTTTAATAACAAGAGATAATATATACCAGTTTCTTCTTTTTTCATTTCATTCATGTATATATAAGAACTCTTAAACATTACCTTATGGCTGATTAGTCTGTAGAATTTAATCTTGGAATACGGTAGTGAGAGAAGGATGCGAGGTTCAGCTTGCAGGTTCTCCCTTTCCATGGCAGTGTGTGTCTGGACATGGGATCGTTCTGAGCCTGAGCCAGCTTGCTTCTAAAATCCCAGCACTGCCCACATCATTGTGTCATCATGACAAATAAATGGAATGAACGTATACAATCCTTTATTAAATGTAAATATTGTTCCTCAAAACTAATATTTTCATTTTATTAGCATTAACTCTATTTACTATATTGATACTTGCTTTTCTCTGTGTCTCGTGTTCCCCCTCCCTGACACCGAAATGGGGGAGGAAGAGAAAAACATCCCTAGAAACGGATACATATCAGTCTTAGCCCCTCTAATTTGGGGAGATTTTTACTCATGTTTATTAAGGAGCAACCCCACTAATTTATAAATTCATATTCAAAAATTATTTTCTTAGTAGAAGTGACTTTTAGAAAGCCTGCTTTTGGAATGAGAGCTTCACATGGGTAAAGAGTGGCAGTGCCATTTTTGAAGGCACCAAAATGAGCCTGTACAACAGGTGAGAGAGGGAAAGGGGTGCAGATATTATGCCACATCCCCAGTATTTCCAGATGTGTTTCTCGCTTCTATCATAGTCCATTGTGGATGTGTCTGGTCAGGGGGCCCCACAGTGGTCATTCAGAGACCCAGGCTGCTTTCCTCTACGGCTCCTCTTCGGTCCTTGGAGTCCTATCTGGTCAGCTGGAGGCACCGTGAAGCACTCAGACTCACACCGAGGAGGTTTAACGGGTCAGGTCTGAAAGTGACATTAGCCAGAGCGTGGCCGAGTGGCTGCCTGTCTGCATGTGAACCTGAGAAACTCGTTCTAACAGTG